ATGAAAGGAGAAACTTATTAATTAGGAAAAGGCTGGTGGTTGTTTATCAGGTGATTTTTTGTGGAGCAGGGGTTACAGACAGTGTGATGTTAAGCTTGCGACACGTGTGGGGTTGCGTGGTGGATGGTGAGTGACGCACCATTTGGCGGGAACGAACCTGCCTTTTACTTCCTTTTTCTGCTTTAATAATAATAAAATAAATTCAATCAATTTGTCTAAAGAATTTTGCTACAAGTCACTGTAAACAAGCCCAGCTGAATTTGAATTTATGGTACTAGAGTTTGAGCTCGAGCCTAAGCCTGGTTGAACTTGCCTTGTTAAATGAACGTGTTTAAAATTGAGTTTGAGGTCGGTTTATTAACTGAGTCAAGTTCAAGCCGATCTCGAGCTTTAACAATTCAAATTATAAAAACTTATTATATAAAAAATTCTCTTAATGAAGCTGAGCCGAGCCAAACTCATTTCATTTAACAGCATTATTCGTGACAAGAAATCCATCCCCAGATTCCCACATGGCATGGTTGATATGAGGAAATAACATGAGAATGAAATAATAATCATTCCCTTACTCATTCTTTATCCCATGATTGGTATATTTTTTGAAAAAGAATGACCATTGCAATGGGAATGACAAAATTCATCTCCATGGACTAGTCATTCCGTAGTTCATGGAAGGTTTTCTCATTCCATGTGTGTAGGAATCAATTTTCAAAAAATAAAATTAACAAATAATAATAAAAAATAAATATATAATATATATTATAAATAATGATTAAAAATATATTAAATAATATTGTTTTAAAAATTAAAATTCAAATAAAAATATTGAAAACTTAATTTTATTTATCGTTTTGTTGTCAAATGGAAATTAACAACAACCAAATTTGGATGTATTTTAAGTGAATCTAAATGTTTAGCGATGAAAAAGCCTGGATATTATATCTGGAAATGCAATTTGTAGCAAGGTGGTATTTTTTTTTTGTCCGTCTTTTTGGGAAATTCTCTCTTTCCCTTTTATATTTTACACACCATATTTATCCGTACAATAATCATTACGTCTTGAAAGGTCAAAGGCGGTCTTTGATGGCTTCTCTTGATAGCTTGCCACTTGGATAAGCGTAATGATGAATTATGCTGAGTTGTCGCCGCCTTACCATGCTGAGGTGGCATGTTATAGATATCGGCCCACCCAATTATAACCGACATGTTGTAACTGGTATACACTAACCGATATGTGTTGACCGACATGTATTGGCCGACATGCATTAGCCGACATGTGATATCGGTCAACTTAGGGAAGATGTCGGTTCTTGCTGAATCTTTCATTGCGTAATCATCTTGAAGCTGGTGGGAGCGTCACCTGCTTGTATGAACTCTAATCACCATCCAAATTGGTCTTAATCAACGGATTAATGTCGCTTAACCTGGCTTACGGAAAATGATATCAACACGTTTAATTAGATATATTAAATACTTATATAAAAATAAAACTAAAAAAAACATTTATATATAATTTGAAAATAATATTATTTTATTTTTGTATATAATTAAAAATATAATATTTTATATATATTAAAAATATATTACTTTGAAAAATATATTATTAAAAATATATTATTACGGAATAGTACAAATATATATTATTAGAAATATATTACTTTATTTTTATATATTATTAAAAATATATTAATTTAAAAAATAAAATTCAAATAAAAAAATTAAAATCATACTGTTATTTATTGTTTAATTAAAAAAAAAATATACTTCCTCCTATTTTTAATATGTTGTTTTGAGAAGTTGTACATTAATTAAGAATATTTTTTTTTGTCAATAATAACCTGATTTAATGAAGATAGAGATGAATGTTATGAGAAAAAGTGAAGAGTGAATATAAAAAGATGTAATGTATTTATTAGCTAAATGAGGGTAACAATGGAAAAATATGTATAAAAGATCCAAAACGGCATTTATTTAGTTAATAGTTGATAAAACTAGAATGACAGTTAAAAAAAGAGGAGGGAGTATTACTTTTTATTTTTATATATTATTAAAAATATAATATTTTTAATATATTAAAAATATATTACTTTTAAGAGTATATTATTTATTATATATAATTTATAAATATATTATTTTATTTTTATATATTTTTAAAAAATATATTATTTTTTATATTATTAAAAAATATATTATTTTATTTTTATATATTATTAAAATTATATTA